ACAATACAATATGATACAATATTTCAACTGTATAAAAGAGATTCTGAAGTGATTTCATTAAACATGTTATTGATTACGGGCTAAATCCACTGCTTAACTACTTCATATGTTTCTTTACAATGGCTTTCAACAATTTACTAATTTCATTTGATGATTGATATTCAATATTATTTACTTGAAAATTTATATACTCACTTAGCAGCACGAAAGAAAATAGCGCAACCGTCCACAAATTTACGTTCCATCTCTGACATAGTCTTGGCACGTGATTTCGGCGAGAAAATACCTTCGTAACCGTCGGCCTTAAGCTCAGGCAAAAAGAAAGCATAAAACTGATCTGTCTCGATTTCTTGCAGACTAATTATATCCGCCGAATAGTGACGGATTTCGTCAAGTATAGCCTTTTTTCGGTACTCCCAACTCAAGGCCCACGACGGGCAGTAACCGTACATTTGTCGGGTGGCGTACTTGTCGCACAAAACATTGTAACACATAACTGTAAAGATGCCTAAAAAACAATTTTTTAGTAGCAAAATTCTGTACGTCGTACATAAATATTAAGGCAATTAGCTGGTAATTGTATACGTTCGAAACTTACAAGCTGGCCTTGATTTGTTCGGTTTTGCTAATGGTATCCATGGGCGTTGAGGTGGAGGTGTTATGGAAACTAAAAGGAGAAGAGAAGAATGAATTAGTAAATACTTGTTGTGTTGTGTAAGATATTCATAGAATCAGTCATGTACCACAGGCTGATGTAGATATACGTATGTATATTTTGGGAAGATTATATAGGGCGGTCCATCTAGATCCTGTTTTTTTTTTGTTAGTTTAGATAAAACACGTTAAGCAGAACTGGATGTCTGAATCTTTATTATCATCCGAAAGAAAAATCTTAAGACATTTATTTTTTAATAATTCCATACAAATGTTGGAATGCCTGAAATGGAAGCAACATTTGGTTTCAGCATGTTATCTTGTGATTCACACCTCTGGATTTCTTTCTTTGGGGTTATGTGAAGCCAGAAGTATTCATCGATAAGACAGCTATGATTCAAAACTTGGAAGCCAACATTACTTGCACAATTCGCGCAATGCTGGAAAAGGTAATTGAAAATTGAACCTTCAAAATGGATCACCACCACAGCGTAGTCGGGGCCAACATCTGAATGAAATCATTAAAAAAAAAGTAATGCCAGAAAATTTTCTTTCGGATGATACTAAAGATTCCGACATCCAGTTCTGTTTTAAGTGTTTTATTTCAAATTAAAGATCCCCGATCTAGATGGATCACCCTATACATACAGTGGTGGAAGAAATAATAGAAACTTTTTACTTTGACCAGTTTTGGCTATATTACTTTGTTTATTCGATGTTTAATGTTTTGTATAAAAGTCTAGCGCACATTTCAAAGTTTGTACAAATATTATAAAAATTCAACAAATTTTAACAAAATTCCCCAAAAATTTCAAACTTTTTAATCAGATTTTTTTTTGAAAAATTTGGGGTATGCATTAAATTTTGGGTGCCCATTAAATTTTAGGAGGTAAAAGTGCAAACCGCAAGACGCTAGAAAATCGCATTAATTTTTTATATTTTTTTTTTTGCTGACGCTACTAGGCATTTCCTTGCATATATAAAGAAATTTTGAGCATGGTCGAGCATACTTTATATGGAAGAAAATGCACAACACCGCCAGCCAAATAAATTATTAAAAATCAACGCGATTTTCTAGCGTCTTGCGGTTTGCAGTTTTACCTACTAAAATTTAATGGGCTATAAAACTGCATCTTCAAAAAAATCTGATTGAAAGTTTGAAGTTTTTGGGGGGTTTTGGTAAAATTTGTTGAATTTTTATAATTTTTGTACAAACTTTCAAATGTGGATTTATATGGTGTGTGTTATATATTGCGCTAGACTTTTATACAAAACATATATAGATACATACTACATAAATTACAAAGGCCTACAAAATTAAAAAAAAAAGTTTAGGCTCAAATATCACGACAACCTAAGCCAATCGGGCAAAACTGATTTTGGATTCAGATTCAGCGCAACAAAAACCTTTAGAAAAGTAGAAGCTAGTCCCAGAGTCTGAAAAATGTCGGCCTATGTTATTAAAAGAAAAACAGATCCACAGTAACTGCAATCAACATACATACATAGGTACCCTGCAGAAAATCTGTATTTACTCTGCAGAAAATCTGACTAGCTCAGAACTAGCGTAGAACTAGACCTTTTGCCGACAGTACCAGTTCTATTTCAATTTTACACGGCGATGTCATTGGCGGTGCCAATTGTCGCCCAGTGCACTACTTTTCAATTAGTTTTTAACCGGTTCCGTTTTAGTCAGTTTTTTTTTTATAAGAAAATGTTTTTGTGATTCGATTTTTGCATATTTTTTTCATTTTTCCTTTTCTTTTACAGATTCCATTTTTGTTAAATATTTTATTAAAAAATAATTATTGTAAGGTTTAAGCTCGTGACCAAAGATACTTGAGTCGGAAGTCTTGTCGCTGAGCTACTTTCGTATTGTACGAGTAGTGAGCATTTGCACATTTACNGCTTGAGTCGGAAGTCTTGTCGCTGAGCTACTTTCGTATTGCACGAGTAGTGAGCATTTGCACATTTACAATGCTAGTTTCAACTGTCCTGCTCTGCATACGTTTTACGCTAGTTCAGAGATAGTTCTGATGTATGTACATATGTAGTTCGGAACTAGCGCTTTATCAGACTATCTCCAAATTTTACGGCAGGGTACATACATAAGCTGCGTAACATATAACGTTTGAGGCACCGGCTAAATTAAAACAAAAAAAAACGCAATACATTAAATACTTGCATACCTACATACATATGTATGCACATTAGAGTGGTCCGCAAATACATGCGAGTGGGGGAAGTTAAAAATGTTAACCTCTACGATTTTTCTAAATGGCGAAAAGAATACCCGTATTTTCTGTGTAAAAAAAATATATTTAAAACATATATATTTTATATGGGGGAGACACGTTTTCATAGAAATGGTATAGCATTCTTGAAAATCAATATTTTTCGATCGGAAAACTAAAATTCTAGTGGGTGAGAGCTTAATTTTTTAAACTTTTTTTTATTTAAAACCTGAAAAAAAGCTCAGCCATATTATGGAACGAAAAAAATGCAACTGACGATGGCACAACGCTGAAAACGGTTTGTTTCTAAACTAAATTTGACAAGAGGGGATGACGGAAAATCATTCCAAAATACATCGTGTTTTCAAATATTATCTCCTCAGGAAATCCGATGTTTACTACTTTTTACACCCTCAAATGAAAATCGTGTGAAGTGTAGAGAAAAGGTGCTAATATAAAATGGTGGGTGAACCTTTTTTAATGTAAATTATTTCCATAAATGTATGTATTTTTTATAACCAAGTACAAAAACCAAAGTTAGTATGTATGAATAATTTTTTGACGATCACCTGCACAGCAAGGTGTGTAGTTAAATACGAAAATAATTAATAATTGCACATTTCACTTTCTTTAATATAATTAGGTAGCCCGGAATTGGAAAGGTGGTGGGTAAATAGATTCGCCTTACTTCCACCAATCACGCAACGTATTGCCCATGGAATTTATAATGACTGTGTACATATGTATGTATCTATGTGCATAAATACAAATGTATGTATGTATGTACACTAGCGTGGTCCAAAAATGCATGTGAAAAAGTAAAGTCGGGGTTTTTATGCTCTCACCCTCTAGGATTGCTCTATACCGAAAAAATATACCCTTATTTCTTTATTTTGAAATAAAATAATATTTAGAGGTCGCTCAAAGCGCCCAAAGTTTTCCATGTATTTTATATGGCGAAAAAACAACTTTTCGTAGAAATGGTTTAAATTAGTCAAAAATCCATATTTTTCTACCAGAAAACTCTGTTTATCTGCAGGAGATTCCCAATAATAATACCCAATTGTTTATTTAATCATTTTTTCATTGCAACTATAATTTATAGGGCCGCAAAAAACCCACAAAAACCCCGAAAAATGCAATGGGATGACCAATAAAAAATCGTTAGTATTAAAAAGGGGTTGGGTATTATTATTGAAAATCTCCTGAAGAGAACCAGAGTTTTCCGTCCGAAAAATATTGACTTTCAAGAATTCTCTACCATTTCTACGAAAAGCTGTATTTTTCTCATATAAAAATACATGGACAACTTTGAGCGCTTTGAGCGACCTGTAAATATTTTTTGATTTCAAAATAAAAAAAAATGGGGGATGAGAGCATTACAATTCCGACATTACTGTTTTTGGACTATCCTAANGTATAACAATCCTAGGGGATGAGAGCATTACAATTCCGACATTACTGTTTTTGGACTATCCTAATGTACACAGGTATGCATTTATTTGATTATTTTTGTTTGTTATTCTCTGCGCGAATTGCACGAAATTGTTGAGGGAATTAACTAAGCAGCCAGCGTCGTAAGCGCCACAACAAATACTTTAGATTGCACTGGATTTATTATTGTGTTTGTGATTATGGGTGTATGATTAGCTCCTTATGTGTGTAAAAAATGTATGACAGTGGTGGTAGTCAATTAGCAAATGCAAGTGCGACGGTGAAAGTGACCCACAAATTACTTCCGTGTAACTAGCTAACAACAACAATAACAAATAAATTTCATACACAAACTAATAACTATGGATTTGGCGAATGCCTCGCACCTTGCTTTGCAAAGCTATGCTAATTAAAGTGATTTAATTTATAATTTACCTTCTCTCCCTTTTATACAATAAAATATTAGATATTTTGTAATAAGAAAATTAATTGCACCACTTTTTAAAAGTTGAGTGTGGTAATCCGTAAATTGTGCATTCCATGAAAAGTTGAAAGCAAGGCATATTGGAAAGGGAGGAAGTACTAGAAAAAAACATCTACTTGTACATATTTTGGTGCTACGTTTGTTATAACGTTTAGATAATAATTGCTGATACCATTATTTTTCAGATCTTCTAATTAGAGAAAGAAAAAGGAACCAAGGAATTTAAGGCAAGATCTGTAGAATGCTGGAAAGTGGCACAGAAAATGCCTCCAGATATGATTCACTCTGCACCAGTCCCGATTTTGCCACTGGAGAAGGTATCATGGTTGTAGAGTTGTCACACAAATGGGTGAGGTGGTTTAGCAGAGTCCACTAATCAAGGTCCCTTAACGAAGAGAAGAGAAAAAACAAGTAAAAAAGTTGAAGTTCGGGCGAAGCCGAAAACTACCGTTACATGGTAAGCAGGGAGGGTTTTACCCCTATTTAAAATATTTTCGATAGCATTTTCAGTTAGAATTAATGAGATAAGCTTATATAGTTATAATTAGCGGTATCACGCCCATTTCTCAAAATACTATAAAAATGTTTCTTTTTTTCCAAGGGATTGTTGTGAGTATCAACTGTGAGTAAATTAGCGTCGTTAAATTTCGAAATATCTAAGTTTTAGCATTTCTGAAATTTTCCGTTAAATAAAAAGTGAGCATAACTTTGTCAGATTTCAAAAATTTTCCACATCTCCCTTTTATATGTACGGCAAGTAAAAAAATTATACCGAGTTTGGTACAAATTGATCGAACGGCTACCGAGATACATATGCATATGTGGTCATAAGTGATCGGTGTCATGCCCATTTTGCAAAGA